CGGGAGGAGGCACCGTGTGGCCTTGAGCCGCTGGCTGAGTGTCCTGGTCTGTGGGGACTTTTTCTTCGTTGCAGAAAGCCCACGCGAGTTCCTGATCCAGGCGCTGGAAAGGGTGCAGGCTGCAAGACGAGCCGAGGTGGAGTACCCTCACCTCATGGACGAGGCCAACCTGGGCGCCATGTTCCAGCTGCTGGACGTCGTGGGCCAAGGGCGCATCACGCCCGCGCAGTACAGGGAAGGTGTGTCTCAGCCGGGCAGCGGGCTGCACCAAGGCGGTTGGGTTTGCACTGAATTATTGAAGTAGTTCCACAGCTACACCCATGTATAAAGTATCACACACCTGCCAATACAAGACCTAGAGCTTGGAAAGTTAAAGAAGCAGTTTTAAGTTCCATATGTTTAACTTTTATTTTATCTAGGCCACTTTAAGGTGTTAAACTGATCTTTCCAAAACTTGAATAGGAAATTATCTTTTCTTAAATTAGCTCTTAAAACTTTGGGATTGAGCACTGAAGATCTGCAGCTTGAAGATGATGTGAATATCACAGTGGATGTTTTCAAGGAAGAGGTGTAAGTTTAATTGGAAGGGGTTTTTTTGGGGGGGGACATGGGATATGCACAGTAGATAATTTACTGAGATTTATTTACAAAACTATATAATTAAAGGACTTGCTGATTTAAGCTTAACCCCTTTATTTTGCATTACAAGATTTTAAAAGGTCGGTTATTCCCCGACCTTGCTCAGCTTGCTGTAACCTGAACCAAACTCGGCATTTTCCTCCACCATCTCCATTCCGGGATCCTCTCAATGCAGACCTCCCAAGTTATCCACCCCAGGGGTTCAAATACTGATGTAGAAATGTGAAATAGCAAAACAGTGTTGTCTTCTTTGACAGAGGTAGTAACAGCTGTATATGAAACAAGCTCAGAGTTGTAACTTCTCATGGTCAAGGTACAGTTCTAGAGGCAATTTTTTGGTACCTGTTGTAATCACTAAAACATAACAACCTGATTACCCTCATTGGTATCTAACTGGAGTTCTTATTTTTTCTGTTTTAGGAAGAAAAAGATGCTGGAGAGCTGGGCTGTGGACTAGTTTGAGCAATGGCCTGCCATATATATTAAAAATAGGCAACTTCCTTAATTCTGCTTCTGGTTTGTCAGCTGTGGAAAGCTCATTTTAAGCAGTTGTCTTCTTTTTCTCATTTTTCCCCACTCCCCTTTGAGCACTCTGCTGAAAAGGACAAAGGACAAGAACTTGTTGAAGTTTACCAGGCACAGGAGGGGTATCATCTGAGAATTGCTTTTCTTAATACAGTTAGATGATTGAAAAAAAAAAAAGAAGTAGATATCTCTTTTAGGCAACTAAAACACAGTTTTGGACTTTTCGCCTTCAGTTTGTAGCTTACAGTAAAGGGTTGGGAGCTGTTGGCTCATTACCATTGAATAAAAGTAAGAGTTGAGCTTTTGGGTTGTGGGCTTGTGGTGTGTTGGCTTTTTGTTTAAAGGAAAGACCAACTTCAGCAAGTTATGACAAATGTCCACAGTTAAAGAGAGGTAGCACTTCCAAGGAAAATGCTATTTGCAAACTTACAACATTGTGTTTATGAAAACAAAGTGACATATTCCTTCATTCTTTCCTGCTGTGTTCTGTTTATACACATTTTAATACAGAACATCCATTACCCGGCACTTAGAGATGTAAAGATCTGTGTTTCAGTGAAGGTAGGGCACTGCCTAGAGAAGAGCTGTCCATATTGTACACAGGTCTGTTTACACTGTAAATACTCTGTATTCCTCAGAAGGATGCTGCAGCACACAACATGGACAAGGCAGACATACTGATGAGAAAGGAAGACAGTTTTAGTTTCTAAATGCAATGGCAAGGTAGCTGTGGAAAGATCTGCAGTTTGAAAACAAGGCGGGAGCATTTTGAATTTTTTTTAAACTTTATACAATAAGGCATAAGATTAGATTAACCCAGTCGTTCAGCATACAATATTGAAAAAAAGAACTCAAGTATATTACAACATATTTGCTTTGCTTTTGTTTGAAATAGGTAATCTAGACCCAGTTATTAACCATTTCTGAATTAGTCTCTATTTTCCTGTATTTGGCCAACTAGCTCTCAAATTGAGAAGAATCTCAACATCCTTTTGAGATAATTTATAAACTCCAAGTTCATTTAGTGCTGCTGTTGCAGATGGCTGGTTTGGCTTTAACGCTGTTTCATTTTCTGAAGCTGACTGTAGTACATCCTTCAGAAGCAAGGCAGAGCCAATATTCAAGTTCAGGATAATACAGGCTTCTTTTATGCTAGAGGAAAAAGTTACATGGATTAATATGAGAAGCACTCATGAGATGCACTTAATTTTGTGCACATGGTGATTAACAAAAAAACTTTCCATGGACTTCTGAAAAGATCAGAAGTACTGAACTGAAAAGTACTGCTTACACCAAGGCAAACAGTACACTTGTTCTTACTGTCTAAGCCTTTTCCGTTAGGTGTGTGTTATTTTGTAAGCATCAATATTTTGCCTCCCAATGCTCAGCATGGCTTTTGGTTCTTAAGTTTTTCCACCAGTATTAATAAGATTTATCACTTAATGTCTACCTTTCCCTAACTACATTTTCCCTTAAGATAATTAGAAACTTATAATTTAGTATATTTTAAGAGCCCAGTTTAACAAGACAGCTGCTAGAATCTGAGCATTTTCCCCTAATTAATATGATTAGCAAGCAAAAAAGATACCCTGTCTTTGTCACATTGTTTCTAGTCTAAATGTAATAGCTAGCCATGGGCCCGTTATGTGTTGGTTTTTTATGGTTCCTTTGTGCATCTGTGTCCTCTTACACTGGGAATAGTATGTATGTATCAGTTACCTTTATGAAGGTGATGAATAAAAACTTTCCTAGTTGTAAACACTGGAAGCATAAGTGATCCACATATTTTAAGTGTGGATCAGAACTAACTGTGAAAAAATCTTGGTGATATGTACAACACATGTATTCACCTGGACGTTCAATTTGAAATACTGACAGATCAGAAGTTTGCCTACTTACTGCTTGAAATAGTTTTCTGGCCTCTTGCAGTAGTGGGAAAACAAAGGGAACAGATTTCTACTCATGTCAAACTGGAGTTGTGCTGCTCCTCCTTCATTGAAATGATTTGCCATAATTATCTACAAACACAAAAAAGTGCATCTTGCTGTTTAGGCCAGTCACACCAACTCTGTATTGCACAGGCCGCGTTTTGCTGATACCTACTTCCTGATATATGTATATGTCCACTTTCTCTGCAAGCATTTGCCAGAAAATTTTGAAGAGTGAGTGACAGAGCTGCTGTTCTAGTTGCAGCAAGCGGTCTCGTAGGGTCAACAACATTGGGCAGGCTGTGCTCGATAAAGACATTACTGCTTGCTCTGCTTGAGATGGTAAAGACAACCACCTGAAAGAAATTATCGCACTAAAGTCATTATAATGAAATTACTCATATTACAACTGAAGTTAAAATTATCCTTTAAAAAAATCTTACCTATTTTCAATGGTTCAGAGAGAGTTCTCCTTTCCCATTTCAAATCTAAAAGTAATCACAGTCTAACACTGTGTTTAGATTTAATTTAATATTAAACTCATGCGGTAGTTATAAATCTCTGAACATGCCATTCAAAGAAATCCCATCTAATCTAGAAAATCAACGAGTTGTATTCCTTTTGTGAAGTACTTCAGAAATTCTACTCAGAAGCCAACATTCAAGGAGCCCTGAGTCTGTGAAGACAGAACAGTCATTACAGGCCATTTTGTATTAACTCTAATACCTCTACGAAGAAAATAACTATTGTTCAAACTAGAGTGACCCAGAATCCTTCCTACGGATTTTAAGTTAATGTGCCCACTAATTCTGGAACTACTTTAGAAAGCAGAGCATTAAAATAGTCTTGAAGTGAGCATTAAAGAGAATTTTCCAAAACTTACTATCCTGCGCCATTCCTATTCAGAAAAATAATTTTGCCTCCTAGCTATTCCTCCCTTTATTTACCCCCATATTTTTATCAAGAAATAATATTGTAATATGGGAGGAGAGCAAACAGACAGAATCACCTCTCTTTTTTGTACAGCTTTGCAGCATCCTTGACCTCTCTGAAGACATGATCTACTTGACGAGTCAGCATGTCATGTTTCAGGCGTTCCAGGAGGTTAATCATTTCATCAAAGACAGAAGTCTCCATCGAAGCCAGCTGCCCTAGCTGTAGTTGACTGACAGTGTCACTTTCTGCATGAATCTCCAGTTCAGCCTGCTGTAGCTGCAAGAAGAACTAGAGAAACAAAACCAAATATGAATACTACAAGAAATAATCTTACCACTTGAACTTTTCATTGGTACTTTAATAGGCACGGTCCTAGAAAACATGCTCCTGACATATTTATAAACTTAAAGATTTTAAAAACACTTTGTATTTCCCTGTGGTCCTGATTTTGTGAAAAACAAAACACAGTGGTTTAATCCTAGTGATGCAACTGATACAGGTTTCAGATACAACACCAGATGGATCATGGGAATAGAGTTAGAGAAATACTAAAAAGATATTCTAAGATTGACAGCAAAATGCCAGAAAAAAATGCTGATTTTGACTTTTTAATGTTTGCAAAAATAAACTAGAAACTTTAATTGTAATTTGTTTTAGAAATAATTGTTCATTAAATCATAAATTTGCTGGGCTGACAACAGCAAGAAAATGGATCGAGTTTAATGTGATATTGTGGTAACACTTGTTGGTTTTGCTTTCAAGCAATCAAGATGCTTAGGTAGACACAGCTAGAGCCAATTTCCTGTGAAGACAAAATGAATTTGAAGGCTGCCCATCTCGCACACAATACCAATTTCTACATACTTTAACAGTTTTTTTGATCTTTTGTACCAATAACCATAGAAAAGCTGCAATGCTACAGAACAGCCATGCTGCCACCAGGCTATTATACAGCAAAATAATTAATTCCCAATTCCCAGTGATCATCAAGTGGCTCTTCTGAGCACCACCTAACCGGTGGTGTAACGCAGATACCCATGCTGAATCCATTTAAGCTAACCTGCCACAGGAGTAGTTCAAGCATTGTGCATAAGCTACTGCACACACTTCAATACTGTTACTACTGGCTCAGAGATCAACTCACTGATTTTTTACAACACAGAGCATGTAAAGGAGACTACTCTTTTGTCTGTTCAGATTATTCATTTCCCCAGGCTCTCTCTGCATTTCCCTAGAAAGTTTATAATTAATACGTCTTAGATCTCAATAATCTGTCCTTATTTACACATCTTTTAGTATGTCTGAATTTACATCTCATTGTATTCTTTTCAGTAATTAGTCCTTCTGAATACACTTAGATAACAGTGCTGAAAAGAAAATGCTTGTTATGAAACAAACATCTGAAGTCCATTTTAAAATATTTTTTTAAAAGTAAAAAAATTACTTACTACATTGTCAGCCCAGTCTGCCAACACTGTTGCTATATAGTTAACAGCATTAAGGATTGCACAGTACCGGAAGCCTAAGGAAGCTCTAGTCTCTTCCTTCATTACTTGAGTTAATCGTATCCTGAAATCATCAACTAACTCTTTCTGTAAGCCCAGGAACTGTAGCTTTCTGGAAGCCGTTGGAAGATTCTTATACCTATCTGGAAAGACATGAATAAAATGTTTCTAGGTTTTCCAACACTGAATAAAAGCTTTTCAAAAAGGAACACTACATTCACCTTCCTACACAACCTTATATCAGTGAAAATATCCTATAGTATTTAAAACAGCTGACATTTTAACAATTTCAAGGAAACTACTCAATGCAAAAGCTAAACATTCTTCCCCCTCCTGATTCCACTAGCATTTGTTATTCTAATACTTACTTACAGCAACATGTGATTATACCACACCATCCAGTGTGGCCCCTAAAGCGTACTCACACACAGTAAGATAAAGCCATTGAATATGCAATTAAGTGTCTCCTGAAAGCTTACTTGCTCTCATGTTCTGTTCCAAGAAAGCAGACGTTACTTAATAGCTTCTAAATTGTCACATGGTCAAAAGGAATACTAGGATTTTTTATTACTGCATTGTAACAAATTGTATTCTCTCAAGTATGAATGAGTTTTAATATGCTAAAGATCAAATGTATTTTTAGTTACTATTTTGCCAACATGCCACTAGCTCAAGATTATTAAAGCCTGAGCTAGTGTCCAAAATACAAAATGAGCAGGAAAGCTTTTATTAAATTGCAAACATCACAACTTTGCAACATTATTTGGTGACTACTGGTGACAATAGATATTTAGTAAAGAAATCTGGTATCTGAAGTTTTTTTACTACTCATTACAAAAAAGAGCAATGCCCATAGATTAATAATTACCTGTTATAACTAACAATAGAGTCATAAAAGTTTCAGCGCAGTCTGGGACTTTCATTTCATCTACATCAGTGATATCTTTGTATTGCGATATCCACGCAGCCTCTGATGAAAGCATAGAGTCCATTTTCTGAAGAGCAACTGAGATGCACAAAACTTGTAAGTTGCTTAAGTTTTTAATAAAAAATAAAACTAAAAAAAAAACCCCACTAAAATATAGAAACATAAAAGCCTTACCTCTGGTAAGTTAAATTTTACATTTTCAGGTTATAAAAACTAATGATGACTGGCCTCATACAAAACCAGCTTCAATACACCTGCATTTGCAACTGCGTTAACAACTATGTCAGAGTTGACTTGGGGGCTTCACTTTGTTTTTTTAATAGCTGGCTTGCTCCTTTCCAATATATTTCCTCTTCATTTCTTAAAAGTTAATACCCTTCCCCTATTTCAATTTTAAGTTAATCCTTGTCTGCAAACATATAACATTTCTCTAAAAATAAGCCTACAGGATTCCATACAGCTTAAGGGCCAGAGTCCTACAAACTACAGAGGCACTATTAGAGTCTAACCGACTTTTAGTCAAAATAATCACAGAGTGTAACAACATATGTCTTATATAGTAGCGCTGCCCAAGTGAATTATCTTATTTGAGAAGGCTATTCATGTAAGTAGACACATACTTCCTTTCTGATTGTGCAATATAAAGGCCAACAAAACCCATCGGAAGTCTTACATTTTTTTTCCACTGTTAGCCACCTTTGGAAGCAGGATTCTTCTGACAGAATATGCATGCAGCTGGGAAAGCTGCTGAGATAACCATGAACGCTGTATAACTCTCTCTCAAATAGAAGTACCTCATCCACAAGGTGACAAAAGAGTGTATCATCGTACAACAGGCATGGAATATCAGCAGCCAGCTTCTCCAAAATCAGCATTACTAGACCACGAGAGAATTCAAGCTTTTGAAATAAAAAAAGTAAATAAAATGTCAGAGATGGGAAGTATTAACACATGCAAACATGTATGTAACAAACTGCTACTAGACGGAGTTAAGTCTCACCACATACTTAGTGAAATCAGTGGAAGCGGGTTTGCAGAAGTACCTCTCAGAAGTTTACCTACACATTCAGATACATAACACCACGAAAGCGCTTACCCCAGCATTCACTGAAGATCCTGCCTTGTCCAGTACTGGCTGGATTTTGTCATCAAGGAACTTTGCATGATTTCCAATCCACATAAGTACTTGTGTCAAATACCACTCAGGCTTATTTTAAAAAGAAAAGAATATGTTAAATGCATCCAAACATTTCAAGCCCTACTAATATTTTAAGACAAACTTCTAAAAATACCAGTCTCTTCCCCTACTTTCTCTTGATCTCAGATCACACAAGTCTTTCACCATGTTTTACTTGGCTTTGATTTTCATAAAAGCAGTATCAGGGAAGTATTTCTGGATGTGAATTGCCTTGAATGCACCAATTATTACGTTTTTTCTCAAGCAAAAGCTCCATTTTTATCCCCCCTTCTCTACTGCCTTCTCACTCGTGAGCGTCCTCTTTTCTGCTTCTCATGCTTCCTCCTTTATTTCTTGGTACAGCAAAAGGATGCACTCCTGAGAAAACTGTTCACATTAGCTCCATTCTCACTGTCATTGTACCCAGCCTCAGCCCACACTGGAAGTGGGGAATCTAACACCTTCCCACTTCACATTGCAACGCCTTTAAGCTTTTTTGGTTTCTACACCTAGAAATATAGGCTGCAGTTTCTGATAAACACTTCTTTCAATGTTAGTGCAAGGAGAAGCAATTCCTACTCTCCTTACTCCCAACAGCCAAAGAACCTTCTGTTGAACTGCACTCACATTCTTCACAGTTTGTGTATTTGTTTCTCATTTCTGCATTAATTTTCACTTGTCTACTGAATTTAGTATTTTTTTTTTGACACTCCTCCCCAACTTGCCAAGATCATTGTGAAATCTGAGCCTGTCCTCTGAAATACTTGTAATCCTTTCCAGGTTGATGTCTTTCAAATATTTTACACGGGTATTTTCTTTATTCCATTATCAAAGTTGTTGTTGAAAAAAAAAAACAACCCCACACCACCAAACAACACACCAAACCAAAAAACCCAACACAAATTTGAGCAGTGCCCCATTGGAATATCTTTCTGATCTGACACTAGATTACCTGTAAACTTTTATTCACAGGTTTTTTTTAGAAAAACAGTTTTTCACCTATTGTTCTTCACAAATTTCATCTCTTGAACATAATTTCCCCAGTTGCTTATGAAATAATTTAATTCACGTCTAAAATACCCCCTCCCCACTAAGATACAAAACAACAGACTTATGCAACTAAACTGTTACAAAACAGCTCCCAAACTCTGCTGCAGACGCATTACAGCAGCGTAATTCATTGAAACCTGTGCCAATGATAATTCTGAAACAAAAATCCTCAGTCTTTGAAGACAATACAAAAAGTGAGTCAGTTTCCAACTGGTAAACTGGACATCTCTTGCTGTATGTAAATTAAAGAATTTAACCCAGAAAATTAATTTAAGTGCCTTTAGACTAATCACGTAACAGCAGAGTCCCAACTTTTTCAGCTACATGATGGTAGCAAAAGACAATGCCGAAAGTCACAGATTTGTCTAGCCTTTGAGCTCAAGCAATAAGGAACAGTGCAAAACCACTTGCAAGGAAACAGACAACATTACTCACAACTCCGGAAATTATGGAAGTCAGTCTAAGATTGTAGTAACGCTTTCTAAAAGATCTGGGCAAGGTAGAGGTATCACCTGAACCAGAAAAAATGTGCTTGTGCCTCTGAAGTATCTCCAGGTGCTATCTTGATGTCTGTCCACACTCAGGTAGAGACAAAAACTGCATGGTTTTAAAGAATCTGAATTTCCAAAAGGAAGGTGTTAAAAGCTATACAACTTAAATACAGCATTCCATCTCTATCTGTTGCTTAAAAAAAAAAAATTAAAAAAAATCAAATGGCTTTTTCCCATACCTTGTTTAGAACATTGGTTTGTTTATTTCCAGTGAAATGATACTTGAATCTTTTCTGAAGAGGATTCAGCATGATCTGTATGGGAAGGATAATGGGTGGCGATGGGGGTAGAGAGTACTTTTCTGGCAATTGTTTAGGTTTGGTAAACAGTTCATCTCTAAGTTTGACAGTCAAGGAAGAATTTAAGTGTTGAATTCTCCTGACTATCATAATTTCAATAGAATGGGTTTACAAAAATAAAGGCTGGAGGCAGTATTATGCAATCAATACACACACAAAAAAGGAACAGGATGAGCAACAGTGCTTTCCAATTAACCTCAAAGGCAGACTACTATCGCTGCACAATGAAAATGCTTCTGTGTCTCCCCTTTTTGCAAAGTCTCCTTCTGAGATGTGTATCTTTAGCTTCCCTTCTTTTCCTTCGTAGATGGGACGTATTAAAGTGATTAAGGCTGATTTCAAATAAGGTTATGAAAAGCATTAAGTGTATAAAATAAAATGTACACCACAATTTTTTTATTAAGATTGGTAATCTTGCTCAAGTGCATAAGGACTGATTCTCATGAAATCTGAACTGTTAGCTACCACGAGATCACCAGATCTGATGACTTGGAGTTAAAATGTTGCTACTGCCAAAAAGGACAACTTTGGCACCTAGAATTTTTTAAACAAACAAACAAAAAAACCCACATTCTAATGTTAATATAAAGTAACATAAATTCAAATTATTTTCGGTCTTTAGGAGAACAAAATTTTAAATAATTCTTCTTGAGAGTGTGCATCTCTGACATTATTCTTACTAAAATACACCACAACTATGTAAAAGGATACGAGGTCTGCAATTTCAGAAGCTGACAAAACAACATCTCCAAATTGTTGTATACATCAGGAGCACTGGCTGGTGCAGCAAGGCCAAATGCCTGAGACTGTGGTGGTCCCACAAACGGCCAGCGGAGCTGGGTTAGTACCTCTTCAAAGTCACTGGAAGGCAAAACAAGCACTTTAACGTGACCTTACAGTACAACGCAAAGACAAGGGAGTGACAGTACATCTCTTACCTTGACAATTTGTCCTTAAGAATTTTATGCCAGAATTTAACAGTGGATCTCACAAAAGCAAGAAGATGAGAACAAGATGACTCCTGAAGCTTAATATCCAGTTCTGCCATGAATGCTAGAGTACTGGCTGCCTCTGGAACATTGTTAGTCATCAGATATTGCTGAATGCTATCACTATAAAATACAAGAAAAATCAGGCCAAAAACTCATTAAAGATAACAAAAAAAGAATCATTTGTATATTGAAAAATGAAAATAAAACTTTCTCAAATCTAAGACATTTTAATAGTGGGACAAAGTAGGTTACTAGTCTCAAAACATATATGCAGTACTCAAACTTTACCTTAACTCTTCTATTCGTGATATCCATTTAAGATAGGACAAGTGTCGTTCAATCTCTTCTACTTGACTAATCAGTACATCAAGATCCTCCATCCATGGCTGAGCTTTCAGCAAGTGGCTATTGATTGAGTCAGAGAGAAGAGTTTCTTCTTCTAGAAGCCGACTCAGAGACTTTTTAGAATCTTCGGCGTTCTTTAAGGCATTCTGAATTCTTTTAGGGACTTCTGATGAAACTGTAAGTACCTACATTCACAGAAAAGTATTAAGTCTGACACAAAAACACTGTACTATATAGAGTACTACCATTTGAGATATTAATACATTGTTTTAATTTACTTAAATACATTTAACCAGTCATAAAGGATATTCAGAAGAAAAAATAAAAGATGCTTACCTGTTCTTCTAAGTGCTTCTTATTTTCAGTCAGCTTATCAATAAGGTTGTCTAGCTTCCTCAGAGAATCATAATCGTTTCCAACTTCTCTTTCCACAAATTCAGAAACATAGTATGGGATATCACAATGATCTAGATCTCTATTATCTTCTTTCCTTCCAACAGCAAGGGCTGCCATGTTTTCTTTCTCTGCAATACTGATTACACAATTTCTAATTAGTCACCGCTAAGACAGCACAAGCAGCTATTGGTCTATTGAGGACACAAAACTCCATGAAAAGCTGGGCAGTTCAATTTAAACTGAAACTTAAATAAGATATTCAATAAAAATACTGCTTTAAGACATAAGTATTGCTGGCATAAGTCTTAGCTGAAATATGATAAAACCTTGCTTACACATCCAACTGGTTATTTATCATAAATTATTGAAAGAAATACGGCTGTTAATTTCTTCCTTCCCCAGAAGTGTGAATGTTATTAAAAATAGTTCAATATATAAGCAGTTTTTACATATGTAATATGGAACACTTAATGAAAAATACTGGAAAAATATCTTTGTAAAATAGAAAGGAAAATAACAAGATTGTGCTTTACCTTTTCATACAGTCTAGGATGTTCCAGGGATATCAACTGATGATTAACTTATTACTAGCAAAGTATCCACTCAGGTCTTGCAATGATTTGTGAAGTAAAAGCATCACTTAAATATTTGTAAGAAAACCCACACAGCATAACAGAAGAGGCACTTGCTGACCCACACATCTGGCAGCATCCAGAGAAAACCAGACCTGAAATTGAGAGGATGATCATGTACAGTGAAACAAAAAAAGGCAACGATGAGTGTTTGGGCAGTTCAATTCTCAACTTTTTAATATCACTTTCAAAACACTATTTAAAAATGAAATTTATACACTTGCATTTTATCTGCTAGAAGCTTTAATTAAGTGAAAAACCC